CTAGGTGACTTTCCGCACCTTGTGCGGCCTATAATGATGTATATTTAAAAATTAAAAATTAAGTTACATATATAATGTAAATTTATAATAGTTATGTAAATGTATGTGTTGTTTCATGATTATGTTGTTGAGGTATACGATTTTTTTTTTTCACGAACGCATTTCAACAACTACTGATTATACGATTACATAATCAGATAACCAGTAGGATAACGAAGTGCTGATTATAGAGAAAACTGTCTTCTTTACCCGAGCTTTCCTAACTAGTAGGTCCGCTTTCTTGTTCATTCTCCAAGGGCAATACGTTAAAGTAAAGTCTGGGAATGTTACACGTAAGGCCTTCAACTCATCCAGTTCGGTTTGGAAGCGAGGTATACGATTTTCTATTCACTTTTAGTTGTGCTTTATTATCTATGTTTGCGTTTGTGTAGATCATATTTAATTATGAATATGATTCAATAGGTAACTTATTGTAATATGAAATGTAATTTTTTAGTGTTAGCTTTTTTTAAATTATATCATGATTAAGTTTCATGTTTTATTAGTAATAACAAATATAAACACACATTTTTACCAATTAATAAAACTAAGATATTTGAAAAGTAACATAAAACAATTATGACAATAAACAAATAAGACAAGTCCAAAAAAAAGCAAAGGTTATTTGACTCTAAACTATTGGTAAACTATGATTATATTGGCTAGTGATCGCCTTATTTATTAAATCGTGGCCGTGGTAGTGACCGCCTTGTTTATTAAACCGTCACCCTTAGCCCTTTCCTAAGCAAATTCCTAATTGCCTAGCTGAGCAAATTGAATTTTTACATTTTACCCGAGCCTCCTAATTCCGGTTTGCAAGTACGTGTAATTTAGAGATTTTTCTTCAATTAGTGTGTTTCTGTTTTTGTCTGATAACTTGAGTCTATCATTTGTCTCTTTACCATAGCTTGGTTTGTGATGATCTACCAAATAGAACAAGTTTATTTCTTGTTCCCTTTGCTCCTACAACATCAAGAAAAGCAAGATCCCAAGCCCATTCCAACATTGCTCTTTAGTCTTCCGATATTAGGCTTTTCTCTCACTCTTTGTTACTTAAAAGTCTACAACTGTTTGATCTCAAAACTCTGCCTACTTTGTCTCTTGAGATACAGATGAAAAGAAAAATAGCACCCAAAAAGTCAAATGCAGGATCGTTCTGACAATATTCCAGAATATATCATGCACCTAAGTTCGAAGCGACAAGCAAATTAAGCTGGTCTATCCACGTTTAGATCCCAAAGCAAGAAGTATCTTCTTCCTAGGTCCCTGTAAGAGAACACATTATATACCTTGTAAAGATTTCAAACAGGAACTCGAATCTAAACATGGAGATGCATTATCTTATTAACAGTCAGCATATTATGAATGGAGAAAAACTGAGGCAATGACTTGTATCCAGAGTTCGTAACGTAAGCTGAAATTAAGCATGGCATATCTGTGGCAGCTTGTTATGGACTTACCATTGGTATGAGCATAGCTTTGAGGTCATCATCTGCCATATGCATACGAGCATCCATATCAACCTGGAAAAGATTGAAAACAATAAGTATCATTGTACATTTACACGACATCAAGAAGAGCACGCATCAGCAAATACATTTACATACTTCTTCCACTTGAAATGCGGTCGAATATTTCTCAAGGCCCAATGATTCCACGAAGCTATCAACTGATGCATCAGTCTGAACCAAAAGATAACAAACTAAGATCTAGTACTGGTGAAACATCCAATCAATCAAAGACGCATTGCACGCTATATGGGATAAAATACGGATGGAGAACTATAGTTGGAGAAAATGAATTAAATTGCCTGCTGTGATTTCTTCTTGGTTGCTTTGTTGAAAGCTGTTTTAGTCTCAGATTTGGTTTCACCTGCAACATTCTTTATGGCTGGTCTAGTAGCCTCCCTTTTAGATTTTTGTGGGTTACCGCTCCTTGGTTGTGAATCCATCATCCAAGATAGCTTTTCCCGTAGATCCCGCATGCCCAGACTAGCTCCCCGTCCACTTTGCAAGCCATGATGTTTCTTTTGGAGCTTCAAGCGGAGATCTCTAGAGTCAACTCTGCGATCTTGGTAAGTCAATAAACACATAGTCAACAACCAAAACATTTACACTTTTGCAGCATTAAATGATTGTAAAACATAAAAGTTAATCACGCAAGAAAAATTAAAAGCCGAAATGTACTTGAAATTCGAGGCTTGTCATCATCGAAAAGATCATGCTCCCACTTGTCGTCATCCTGCCTCTCTCTGAAAGCATTAGGTAATACGTTCATCAGACTTTGTTTCCAACCTTATGCTAGACTAGAGACGGCGAAAAAGAAGAAGCAGTAGTACATGACACCATCTCAAATGACCAAAAATGAAGTGAATGGAGACATGACAAATGCAAAAGTAGAGAGCTAAATAAAATCTCTTCAATTAACTATCCATCCAAGATGACAAGACCAAACTCTGTTTCAAAATGTTAAAAGTAGCAAAGCAAATGAAGTAATGAGCAAATCAGAGAATGGGCTCTACGAACCAAAGGGGAGAAGGAAAAGAAGAACTGATAAAACACCCCTAAACAGCAAACGAAAGGGCCCTGCATCAACTCAAGGGATCCTAGGGCAAAGCAAAACGAAATATGATGGGGGGAAGAAGAGTGAGAGAAAATAGAACCTCTTCCACGTCCCGTGAGTAGACAAGCCACCACTGAGACGGTTCTTTACAGTTTTCTTGCTTCCAGTCTCAGTCTCAGCCTCCACTCCATCAGAATACATCTATGGGAAACCCTAAATCAGTAAAAAACCACAGTGAATAAGAGCGAAATAGAACAAGTGAGCTCGGTCTTCATACCAAGGCCACTAAAAACCCTAACCGGAATCATAGAAACAAGAGGTCGAAACTGGAACAAGGACGATCCTTCCACTTCCGATTTCGACTTGACAGGTTCGACGGATTCACTATGTAATTTGCCACTACCGTCACTACTAAATATGTAATTCGGAGTATGTAGTATCAAACACAACCGGGTCGAATCGGATCACAAAATGTAATACATCTCCTATTAATAAGAGACTTTGGTAAAATGATTATGTGATCCTGTTGGAAACAGACTTGGCCTTCAGGATGTCAAGGCACATTCGACAGCAAGAGTTAGAGAAACAAGTTTGGGTTATCGATCTAGTAATGGTTCAAGAGGAGGTTGTTGCTTCTCC